TTTTATTGCTTTCCCCTGCTCCATGGGCTGCCTCGTGGCTGTGTGTCTAGTATTAAGCCAGCCTTGAACCCACAACCAACAGGTTTAGCCTGAGCTGCACACTCAGCCCACTGAAGTACTGTATGTGGCAGTTAGGGATACCAGAGAAACACACAAGGCTTTGACAAGGAGTGACAAGACAAGACAAGTATTAATGTAACTCAGTATTGGTCCCGGTAGATTTCTTTATATGTGCATTAAAACATCCAAGATCAGAGGATTCCTCTGGGATTGTCTAATCGTGGATATGGTTATCACGATTCTTCAAAGCCATTAGAGAATCAGATTAGCCAAGATGGATTAAATGTGTGCTCCAAGGACACTGACTAGGCTACACACATTATGTCGACACAGGAAACCGTTATCAGCAAGTGTATGATTGGCTGCCGAAAATGACGAAAGCAAGAGCGTAGTCCTTCACCCTCAGCAGAGCGAGAGCTGTTGTTGGAGGAATACGGGGAATCTAAGGAAATGATACGCAGGTGAAGGACATGCATTCTTTTTGTTCACATCCAAAAATCCTTTAATAAATAAATGGAATGCATAACATTATTGTACGAAACCTCTTTTTTCAAAACTTTCAAACATCATAGGCCTAGTTTCCATGTTTTCATCACACAAGTCCAAAAATGTCAGTTGGTACACCTGTCAGAATAAATGACCAGAGTAAGAAAAATACAAAAAAAATTGGTGTTTAAGTAAGTTAAAAAAAAAATCTAATTTCATTTCTAATTCCATGTTTGAAACATTTTGCACAGTTTCCATGTTAACTGGTGCAACCCATGAAAAACCATCAAAATACAATGGAAACTGTTTATAATGATCATGGTTATAATGATCAACCACTTATATAGTCACAAATCTAGGGACAGAATTAATCCTGTACAAATACTGTTTAAATAATTTGCTTATAGCAATCAAGCAGTCTGCTTGCAGTATTCATTTTGTTTTTTTTTATTTATTTATTAATGACAACATATTGGAAAAAAGTAAAATGATAGTATTTCATTTTTTAACTTTACTTTGATAGGTTACCCCAAGGCAAAGTAAGGCTATCTGTTGCTGGCTAGCTACTTGGGCACTGAAAGCATGACGGGAAAAAGTCATTTTCTCTCAATGACAAATATACACTTATCCAAGCTTATGATAAACCGCAAAAAACAAGCCACCAAGATGCAGCAGCGAAACTACAATAAAGCTATATTTTATGTACCGTACTATACTGATTATAGCATTTTTGAATTATACACAGTTCAGTATTGTAATTTGAAAAGCGTTTGAGCACATGTCCATGCAAATGTCTGTTTGAAATGAACTTGAAAAGGGCAGGTGGTGCAACCACAATCATTATTACTACTAATCCAGCAATTTTCTGAAACCACTTATCCTATTCAGGGTCACAGGAGGTTTAGAGCCTATCCAAGAGGCTACAGGCACAAGGTGGGGAACAACGCAGGATGGGACACCAACCCATTGCAGGGCACACTGACACGCCAGTCACTCACACATGCATGTCTTTTTTTTCCTATGTATTTTGTTTTGGGTTATTGGGTCATTATTGTTCATGGTATTTCTTAGATCTTAGATTTGTTACACTATTCAGTGGTTTTACTGAGATGCACTAGAACAAAACTGTTCATCTTGCCGATCCATTTATTAAATCCACTTTGGCACAGAAATGATTGCATAATCTGTTGTTAACTAGAAAGACAAGTTTCTTTATGTGACGCATCTTCAAAATAGAGACATAGTTGCCAACCACACATCACACAAGGGCAGATCACCGTAAGATTCACACACACAGAGTAGACAAATATTAATATCGAAGACCTAATAAGAAGTCAGGGCACCTTACATCTTCAGAAAAGCTTCAGTGTATCTTAGACTGCTGTCATACAAGTACTGTGTCGTAGGATACTGAGCTATTCTTCATCAAGAAAAGCCTCCATTTGTTTGATGGATGAAGGAGGTGGAAATGTACTTTGTACATGAACTTCCCATAGATATTTGAGAGTGTTTCAGTCTGGTAATTGTGTGTTAGATTCCGCCAGAACTGCCATTTGTCAGCAATTCTGTTCATAACCTTTACAGATAGAATTTCTAGGCATAACCAAGGGGCGCAGGGGTTCCAGTTTGGGGACCTCAGAATCACGTCTTTGCTTTTTCCAGATTATGTGGTCCTGTTAGCTTCATCAAGCTGTAACCTGCAGCATGCACTGGGGCGGAATGCTGCTGAGTGTGAGGCTGAGATCAGGATCAGCACCTCCAAGTTTGAAGCTATGGTTCTTGACCGGAAAAGGGTAGATCACCCCCTTCAGGTTGGGGATGCATTACTGCCTCAAGTGAAGGAGTTTAAGTATCTTAGGGTCTTGTTCACGAGACATGGAAGAAGGGAGCAGGAGATAAACAGGCGGATTGGTGGAGGAGGTGCTAGGGAAAGGGAGGTCTGGGCATACATGGTTCGACTGCTGCTCCCTTGACCTAGCTGTGGATAGGTCAGGTCAGGTTTGGGAGCATGCGCTGATGCAGTGTGTTGCCGCACCACCACATGGCAAAAATCATCGGCATCCCGACTGGCCACCCCCAGGCAGACACGTGGTCCAGTCCCACACTCCAGAAATGACCACCCATTTGCCACAACCAGGTGCTATGTGAGGATCCTGCGAACCGTATCACCCTCAGGGAAACACGTTACAAGGCCGTAGTGTTGTAACTGACCCTCCTTCATGAACATGAATATTGTTTTGAGATTTGGGGGGAGCTATGGTAACGCAGGCCTTTCTGAGGAGAGTAGGGGCCTGGTGGCCTCACACATCCAGAGTTGGGAGTTTTAATCCCACCTCTGTTCTGTGTGTGTGGAGTCTGCATGTTCTCCGCATGTCATTTTAATTTCCACTGAACCCTCCATGCAGTTAGGCTAATTAGCATCTCTCAATTCCGCTTACTACATGACCATGTGCATGTGTGAGTCCGGTAACAAACTGGCATTCCAACCAGGGTGTACCCCTGCCTTATGCCCTGTGATGGACTGGCATCCAAAAATGCATTATAACGGCAATATGAAGGTGGATTTAATGTAAAGTGTTACCAAATACTGTGTTGTTCGAGTTACTTCAAAATTAAAGTTCTCTTTTCACATGGCGTTCCCATCTTCCACAGTTTGTGTGTGTTTATAATTGAGACAGCTGCATTTTGCTTGTAATGTGGAAATCATTTGTGATTGGCACCTCTGAAATATACTTATTAAACATTTTTGATACATTTTTCTTATCCTGTTTAATAATAATTATTTCTATTATGTGAACTATACTGCAAAGTCTTGAAGTGAAGCTTTACTTGCCATTAGAATAGAATAGAATGACTTTATTGTCATTGCACATTTCATGCACAACAGCACTTGCAGAGCGGTCCCTAGGATGTGCATATCCCACCCATTCATTTATGTCCATTGCAGTGGACATTTTGTTTTTGCATATATCTTTTCAGTGATGTAAGGAAATGTATTTATTCCTGTTGTACACTAAAGAGGACATGATGTGAAATTAAAAATAAATTTGAAAAAAGATGTCATTTCCTCCAAAGACATAGAAAAGCACAATTAACCTAAAACTGAAGCATACTTTTTTCCTTCGGTCTCAGGAGGATATATCTAGTCATCATAGGAAAAATGAAAAAAAAAAAAAACTTTTTTTAAAAAAAGAACATCTTTTATAAATATGAATTGATGTGCATAGTTTTGGCAAGTTATTGCACAGTAATCCCAGTTATTCTGTAGTTTTTTTTTTCAGAATATTACACAATTACTTCATATTATGAATGAAGAGTGTCTTATTTAGTTTTAGTCCGACTGAGGTTCAGTTTGGTAATGGCTCTGTGGGAAAAAAAACTGTTTTTGCGCCTGTTAACCCAGGTATTTAGGGTCTTGTAGCACTTCCCTGTTGGTAGCAGGAAGAGGTGATGGCAGGGGTGAGTTGTGTCTCTCAGAATGTTGCAGACTTTGCATTGGCAGGATGTCCTGAAGATGTCCTCCAGTAAGGGCAGAGGAAGTCCTGTGATCTTTTGGGCTGCGTTGATGACTCTCATCATGTATCGCTCATCTGTCTGCTGCTGTGCAGCTGGCAAGGCAGTGGAGTTCGTTGTCCGTGTGACTTCGTCAGTGATGTGGCTTCCCAGGAACTTGCAGCTGGAAGCCCTTTCCACTGCCTCTCCTCTGATGTTAAGAGGAGAATGTTCCTCACTGTCTCCTGAAGTCTATAATGATTTCTTTGGTATTCAGTGACAGGTTGTCTGCTGTGCTCCACTCTACCAGCTTGTAGACTTCATCTCTGTATGCTGTCTCGTCCCCGCCTGATATCAGCCCCACCACTGTTGAATGTGTGGTGACACAGTCGTATGTGTATCGGGAGTATAGAAGGGGACCCAGCACACAGCCTTGTGGCACACCGGTGCTGAGGGTCAGCCTTGGAGAAAGGTGGAGGCCGAGTCTAACTCCCTGGGGCCTGTTGGTTAGAAAGTCCTTAATCCACATACACAGAGGATTACTGAGGCCCAGCTCCAGGAGTTTGATAACTAACCTACTGGGGACAATAGTGTTAATACTGTTGCGAAAATCAACGCATTTTGCATGTTTCAGGCTTCCAAGGGTTAACTCAGAACCCTTCAATTTGATGCAGATGTCGGTTGTATTGAAGGACAGCAGTAAAAATGCAAATATGCAAGTCAGTTTGTGAAATTATTCGATTTTGGCAGTTAGTAGAGATGGACACTTCACTCCTGTCTGATGGGGTGCTGAGTTTACTTGTACACATCATTGTAAGATTTGTGATTTTATCAAGGTTTCATCTTTATAGAAAGTTAAAAATCAGAAGCCTCAGGCTAAATACTGACTTTTATCTTTGACTGTATTTTCTTCACTCATCCGTCATTCAAATGGCTTACAAAACGTTTCTTTTTTCTTCCAGCAATTAGTCCTCCGTTCGATTTGACCATGAGCTGCCACAACTTCACAGTCACCGCACACTGGAAATACATGGAGCCGTCCCCAGGGACTCAATTCAAAGTGAAAATTAACAGGGAACTAGAGTGAGTTTACACTTGTCATCTACACTGTCAACTGTTTCTTCTCAGTCTGCATAAACGATTTCTATTAGCATGTGACAGATCACAAAATAATGTGAACGTCAGTAAAGCGTCAGTGTTTACTGGTTCAGTATCTTGTGATACTCTTTGTATGGCAGGAATGGTGACCCTAACATAATTAACACAACGCGCCATCACTGTGACGTCTCCTCCTTGATCACCTCGGTGGAGAATAGCTACTACCTGGAAGTAAAAGCCACAAATGGAACTGAGGAATCTGCTGCTGAGTCATCTGAGACATTTAGCTTCGATAAGTATATGCCATCAGAGGTGAAGTGTAAGTGTCATAAGTTATTTCTCCTGCCAAATAAAAACTGTTTCTTTGTGCTGTACAGCTTATTTGAATCCTGTGAATAGAGGATTGATAAGACACTATGACTAACAACATATTGAAAACTGCAATAATTAGCAGAAGCCATTTGTGATGTCTGATAAATGAATGAACAAATGAATTAATGTAACATTTGTGTCTGTGTCTCTGTGATTTGACTGTATGATAAATGCATATAATAATTACTTAATTTTTTTTTACTTCTTTCTTGAAATCTGTATACACAAGGTTTGGGGGGATATATTAGTTTGTGTAAAAGGAAGTTACCCCCAGGCCATTCTGGGTGAGAGTGGCCATGTTAACACTATCAGCTCTTAATGTAAATGTGTGCAACTTTCAAGCCTGAAGCAAAGTCCAGAAACAAGCAGTTTCTTTGCCTATAATGATCTAAGCACACTGTATCAAAGGTATCACAAGACAATTAAAACAGCTGTAAGGTATTTGCATCAATGTAGGAAAGTAACGTCATGGCATCAAAGGAAAGTCACAGCATCACAGTAAATCCTTCTCATTGTCTGCTGTCTAAAGGTCACTAGACGTTCCTCTGGAGGGTGTCAAATGCGGATGTTGATTCACCAAACTTTTTGAGGTCAAACCTGTCTAGCAAGATTTATGGTTATTAGTAGTGAGGTGTGAATTTGTTTGAATTTGAATGCACCTTCAGCAGGAATGTTCGAAATGCTTTTGCAGAATAATTAATTTGGGTCTTTTGGTGTTTTAGCCTGTCATGTAAACAGCACACATCACATCCATTTTTGTGTCAGGTGTGTTGGATTTCCCTGCTGTCAAGCTCTCCGTTAAGGGTGGGAAGATCATGGTGCATTTTGTGCATCCGCTTCAGCTTTACAAAACAGCATCTGTCCTGCAGCATCTGGAGAAAACAGCACCTGCAGAATACAACAAGCATAAAGAGTTTGTGTATTACGTTGTTATAAACGACAAGGTAACGTAACCGCATGAGAACATACTGTATATATATATATATATATATATATATATATATATATATATATATATATATATATATATATATCTTACATATATACTGTTATAGTACCTAACAAATTATTAATTCATAATTCATAGAAATTCTAATTGCTAATTAACGCATTGCCTGTTTAGTGAGGGTAGCTCAGGTGGTACCCCTATTGGCCGGGTAGCTCAGGTGGTACCCCGACTGGCCGGGTAGCTCAGGTGGTACCCCGACTGGCCGGGTAGCTCAGGTGGTACCCCTATTGGCTGGGTAGCTCAGGTGGTACCCCGACTGGCCGGGTAGCTCAGGTGGTACCCCGACTGGCCGGGTAGCTCAGGTGGTACCCCTATTGGCCGGGTAGCTCAGGTGGTACCCCTATTGGCCGGGTAGCTCAGGTGGTACCCCAACTGGCCGGGGTTAGGGGTTTGAGTCCCACCCCTGCTCTGTGCCCACTTTGCATGCTGCCCTTGTGTCCATGTGCTGTAGTTTCCTCCCAAAGTCCTAGAATGTGTGGCTAGTTGAGCATCTCTCTATATTGCCTGTAGTGTGTGTGTGTGGGGGTCATGTATATATTGGTCCCCACAATGTGATAAAAACCTGTTATTTTGACATTGTGGGGACCATTTTTTTGGTCCCCACAAGGGGAAACACAGTTTTATAAAAATCTGCAACTGCAATCAAAAAACTAAAAATCAAAAGTGTTGTTTTTTGTTTGGTTACTTATGGTTAAGGTTGGGTAGGGGGTTACATTTGGGATTAAGGTTTTGTTTGTAGAAATGAATGGACTGTTCCCACAAAGATGTCAACACAAATGTTTATGTGTGTGTGTGTGTGTGTACGTGTGTGTGTGTGTGTGTGTGTGTGTGTGCGTGCGTGTGTGTGTGAGTGAACCTGCATGAAATTGCCCCCCCATATGTTTCAGATTTTAACCAAACCGGTCTCAATCATTTGTGCTGTTGAAATCTTTGTTTGTGTTGCTTTAACTTCTAAGATATAAATATTTGTTTACATGGTAACATTATCGCTGTGAGTCCCCCGTCCAGATTCCATCCCCCTGTAACGTGTCGCTCAGCTGTTTAACCAATCGTGCAGTTTCAAGTTACAAGTTATAAGTTCACCCTTTCTGCTGCTGCAAAGCCTTCACACCAACAAAATAAGTTTACAAATGTTTTCAATTATTAAATCATTAACTTTTCGCTTGGTTGTATAACTGACATATGTTAAGCAATATGACATGACATAGCAGTATATGTATCTAATTGTAGAAATAATTAGGCTAAACTACGTGTAATCCAATCACAGCTTTTTCAAAACATTCGTTAAAGTATTTTATTGATGTAAATGTCTGGTGCCGATATAGAGCTGACTATACATTAATAATCTAATAAAACATCTCAGGCATACTATCAAGGGAAATGTGAATGATTTTCTAGATTAATTTTTAAAAGCAAGCCACATATTTTATATATGGCAATAATCAATAAAACATGGACCAAAATATATATAGGCCTAATTAATAAAATGTTTCAGTGAATTCTCAACGAGCAAAACATACGGTCATAGTTGAAAAACAAGCTGCATGAACATTGATGAAGAAATAAAACGTTAGTTATACTATCAAGCTAAAATGATTTTTTTTTTATGGTAGTTAATAAAACACCTTTTTAAATCGCTTTTACTGACACAAGCATTTGTATGGAATCGGATTTGTGCCAATATTATCAAGCAAAACATTTTTGACATCAAGCAAAAACAAGACTTCGAGAGAAAAAAAAACTAACTGAAGCAAAAGAAATGTTATCTCAAAAGTAAAATTTACGGACATTTTTAATTAACAGCTGGACTGGACATTCACTACCCACTAACTAATTTTTACTGGATCCGACAGCAAGATTAACAAAGTGTAAATGTTGATGTTGTTTGTGCTGCACCATACATTTTATTGTGCTAAATTAGAAGTAAAGTTAAGCTTTGCTGTGTAATTTGGCTTTTACCTAATTAACGTTAGCTAACTTAAAAATGTCCATGGCACTGACCTGTCAGTCAAAAACTTATTAGCCAATGGGGACGCGTCCCTGAAAAAGCCCGCCCATGCAAGAACTGTGTCCAGTGTTGCCAACTTAGTGACTTTGTCGCTATATTTAGCGAGTTTTTAGACCCTTCTAACGACATGTTTTCAAAAAAGCAACTAGCGACAAATCTAGCAACTTTTTTTTTTCATAAACGACTTTTGTCATTAATTTACTTCCATAGTGCACTCTGTGGAGTACTGGGTTCTACTGAATAATGGGCTGATTCGATAGTTAAGTAAAATAATTACCCATTTATCTTGACAATGAAAATCTGGGTGCATTTTGATGTTCTACAAACTGGTATCCATGTGTAACATGTGTATGCTGTTTGTACACTGATAACTGGATATTTATCTATATAGACTGTATGATAAATAGAATTTTTTTTTGTGTGTGTGTGTGTATTTCATCAAGTCTGCTCTAGTGTAACATATGGATATATCTGGATATATTTTACTACAGAGTACATTTCAATTTAATTGCATGGTGACAGAGAACAAATGCCATGCAATCATTCCAATAACAGAGAAGAAAGAGATGTACTGTGTCACCCTGAATGGACTGCTGAAGAATACTGTCGTCAGAAGTTCAGAGTCAATATGTAGCCACGAGGAACCCGATTCTAGTAAGAATTAGTGTTTATATACTGTATGTTACCTATCCTGGGGGGTATTCCACAAAGCAGGATTTCTTCCTTAGCCAGATAACTTAAGGCAAATGTGAGGACTGCTCAATAGAAATGCCACTTACCTCTCTTCCAGTTAAACAGTTTTCATGTTTGTCTTAAATTTTCCAGCTATCTGGCAAATCCTGCTTTGTGGAATAACCCCCCCTCTGGGATATTTTCTAATATATGCGAATCAGAATCTGGTGTAGTCAGTACAGTGTTATAAATATGTATTTTCTAATTTCTGCCTCACAATGCATAGGCTAAGGATATTTCTTCAGTTGTTCAGTCATAGTGGCGTCTCAAACTGACAGCTTAATCATTGTTCCGTTGTCTAATAATGTTCCTCTTGACTATAATGCCATCCACTGGTCTGATTTTACAGGCTATTACAGGTGGCATCTCCTGTTGTTTTTGGTTCCTTTGGTTCTTGCTGTGGTCATCATGACTGGGATAAAAATGTTCAAAAAAGTGAACAAAACTACATCAAATCTGAAATTTGAAGAGCTGAAAATTTTTGTAAGTATCTTTGGCAATTATCAAACTGATTTATGCTCCAAGGAATGAGCTATATTTAACCCCCCACAACCCCTTAACCCTAACCATGCTAACGTAGGTATATTAATATTGGTGATTTGTAGTCCATTCTGTATATTAAAGTCAACTTTTGCTATGTCGACTGAAAAAAATACTTTGAATAGTATTTTTATAGCAACAGTGAACAAACAAATAAATAAAGCTCTCTTCCACTCTAACCTGAGTTTAAAAGATTTATCAGTGAATTTAAGGTATTCAAAAATTATGTTTTAACCTGTGTTTCTGAAAAAAAGCATTACTTTTTTCCATTGCCCTGTTAGCTATCTAGACCTAATGTTAGATGTGACCTTTTAATCCTGAAATGCTCTAACCGCCAATGCGCCATTCAGATCTTAGAGTCTAATGGAATGTTGTCTCATAGGCTTGCAGAAAACTGCTCCTAGCTGCAGTCAGATGAGTAGATGAAGATGGCACAAGGTGCTTCACAAATATTTTCATAGGCACAGATAGAGGCAATCAGTGAATTTAGGGTGTAGCTCTCTGAGTGGCATGTCCTTCTCTGCGGCCTGTAGGGTGACCACTCATCTGGACAGTCTGCTTTTCCAGCTCTTTGCTAGACTGCTGTTGGGTGTGTTTCTCCTAGCCCCCTTGTCCTCCTTGTTCCCTTCCTACTTCCCCCCTCCCTAAAAATGTGAAACACCCACCCACACAACCCCCCCAACCACCACCATAACTGAACAGCTTTGAGCCTCTTTTGAGACTCTCTTTCGAGCCTCAGTCCTCGTTTTTGGACACAGATGTCCTTCTTTTTAGAGTCATGCTGCTCACCCTAGCGGCCAGGCTGTGTGAGGCCTACAGGTTCACACTCTGTAGAAAACAAGGTCAGTGACTAGGAGTAGATTATATTAAAAGGAGGAAACCAACAGACTATGATCAGGAGAATGCTGAAACTGCCAAACCAGATCAGTGGGAATTTTATCTTCCTGAAACATGACAGCGTTAAGGAATTTACTGTGACAGAACAGTAGTGATGAAGTCAAGGAGAGAACTTTGAACAGATGAGATTGTAATAGATGCATAGCTTTTCGCTACTTCAGTTAAAAGATGTCATGAATCATTAGTGATGAGTAAACATTGGATCAGTATTTAACTTATACATTATACATTAGTTGTTCCTTCAGTAGTAGAATTAGTTTATGGTTAATTAATACGTAACTAATAGCATAATACTACATTATTTGTGCCCCCTTAAGTAAAGTGTTATTGGATTATCTATTTATGTCTAAGTCTTACTTCTTTTTTGAATGTCTAAACAGACATCTACAGTATAATGAAATAGTTCCAATACAGTTCAATTGATTTCTGAATGTGATCATAAATGCATTGTGTCTACAGGCCTTTGTGCTGTCTAACCAAAGGCCTGAGTGCAACATCATACAACTGGAGAGTGTGTCAGTGCAGAAAGTGCAGTCTGTAGAGCCCCGCATCAGCGCCCCAGAGGGGACACACAGTGGCCAACTGCAGACCACTGTCCCGCCCCGGAATGGCCGCTTCAAAATCGGCCCAGGGCGGATGACCGGGAGCGCAGAATCAGCGGATGTGCACAGCCTTCTTGAAGACTGTAACCGGCTGAGTGAATCAAGTAACTGCCAGTCAGAAATGGACGCGTGTGGGTATGACAGGCCGCACCGGCTTGATGTTGAAATGAGCCCGGGGGACAAGGTCACTGGTTATGGCTGCTTTGAAATGTGAAGATGTCGCTTTCTGAGCATCTCCTAGGCTGGAATCAGTGATGTTCAGCCTTCTGAAGTTGCTCACTTTGCCCGATGCCTTTAGTGTAAGTTTAATCCTTAACTATGCACTTAGCTATGTCGAAAATGTGAATGACCTCAGATCTATGTAATTTGACAGGTCTGAAGTTCATACTGATATACAGTACTGTATGCCACTAAGCACCTGTCATTTTAGTAGTGAGATTACGTGGTATCCATGGCAATTCTGGGATGTGAACCTTTGGGGGGAGGGGGGTTATTGGGGACTCAGTCTCATGAAGAAATATAGTTATGTTATTATATTTTAAGAAGTGAACACCCTTTCTAAGCTTGATTATTTAAGCTGATTATTATACCTAAATTTTCAATGCAAACCGATAAAATAGCCAGTTCTCTGTTCACTGTGCATGTAATACGGTTTACATTTGATGAGCGTACATCATCTGGTGATGAATAAAATGCTGTCTGACCTCTTGGTGCAATTTCCGTTAAGGTGAAAACACTTAAAAAGTACTCTTCCACTGACATTATCAATGTTTATACATGTATTCTTATATATTATGTTTCTCTTCATTCATTTTCTATTGTAATTTCCTTATTTCAGACTTAGATTATAAACACTGAATGTTGATCTCTATATTTAAACCCGGGACAGTTGCAGACAATGCAGTGAAGCTCCTACATTTGGAACTGGTAGAATAACCCACTGGTAAAGGAGATCTGTCTCTTACTGGAGGAGAGGATGGAAAGCAGAGCTTCCTGCATTATAGCTGGCCATAGTACAGAACTGTGCAAAAGTCTTAGGCAGACAAAAGAAATTTTGAGGCAATTTATCTGGGTAGTAAGTACACATTTGCTCAGAACAAAAAAACACAACATATGGAAATTAAGAGTAAAACAATAAAAACTAGAATGTCATGTGTTCTAAGTTACTGATATATAGTTAGATGGATAGATGAACCCAAACCTCTCCTCAGGGGCACCTCATCCATTCCATGTATTTATTAAATTTCACCACCAGCTCATTTAATTAACTTATTTAATTGATTAGGAAAAGACAGTGAGATTTTGATTAGCTATGCAAGGTGTGCTAGTGCTTGAGTCAGAAAAACATATGGCTGTATTGGATGGTGGCTGCAAATTCTAGGGTGAAGTTTTGAAATGGCTAAGCTAACACACTTTGACAGGCATAGATCACTTTGACATGAAGATCACTTAAACATTGTTTTCTTTGGCTGCCTACAACTTTTGCACAGTACTTTAAGTTAGTGATCAAGCTGAACTGGCACGTTATGTGAGTGTGTGTGTGTGTGTGTGTGTCTGTGTCTGTGCTTTCTGGGATAGTCTCACAGACAATGTATTTAATGTGAGTTAAAAATTTAATGAACTCATGTTATTTGTTTTAACAGGAAGTTATCTGGTTGCTTATAAATGGTTTGTTTTGTACTTGAATTTCTGCTGTTTATTTGAATTTGGGAAATTGACATAATCACATCAGTCAGTAAAGTATTGTTTAACTAAAACTACTGGTGTGTGTTTAATTTTTGACCATATAAAATGATATTGCCTGATATCAGGTTTGCAAATTTTTATCTCTGTATTGGCATTGAAGACTTAATTCTCATTCTCATTATTGCCTTCCTAAGGATCTCCATCCCATCCACTTTGTTGTTGTTACTGCTGTTTATGTGTCATTTTTATAATGTAATTTTAGTGATTTATTTTATCAGTTACTACATTATTTTATGTTAGTACATCTCTGTAAAGCTGACCTGTATGTAGCGCAGCCTTAAAAATCTTTTGCTTATTGAATCAGTTTCACTGTATGCATTCACAGAATGCATTGTCAAATAGGATGGTCTGGTCAAAAGGATAAGGGCTGTTCTCACCCTTACCCTTGAGTCACAAAGCACCGCTCCAATCACCGAGCTGGAAAATACCCACTCTGCGCAGTGAATCTTGGGATATGTTGGGCTATGAAGGATCCATTAGGTGGATCCTTAGTGACTCAGCAAAAGAGGGATGCATTTCTAGACAGCATTTGAAGGAGCCTTTGAAATGGGACAACCTTGTCACACTGCTGACGCATTTGGCCTCGATGGATGCAGCCCCTGAATTTCAACACAGCCTGAGTCTTTTCTGTTTGAACATGAACTACTGGGGAGGTGCTTACAGCAATAGTTTGTTGGTTGGATGTCCATAAGCACCAGTGTTAACTGGGAAGTTAAGCAGAAGTGCAGGAAAAGAGATTGAAGCAGCGGAGCAAAAATTGACCAGATGTAATTATTTTTCAATTGATCTCCCCCAATAACTAACAAAATTTATTTATTTATATTTATAGTGTTTTGGCGTGGCGGTCTAGTTTCGTATGAAAACATGTGAAGTTAAACCTATGAGGTTTCTGCTTTTCCCGTACTTATTTAGCATAAAGGTCCCAGTTCCTGTGGTGTGATGTGAAATCGACACACAAAAGTAGTGAAGAGCTACGAAAGTTCCAGGCTGAGACAGACCCAGACCTTGTAAAACGGGACCAGATTCCAGAACTTCAGTGTGAAAAAACCTATTGATACCAAGTAGGAATTTCTGGTAGCACAGCAGCAGATGAAACAGACAATGTGTGCCCTGTCATAGAACAGTATCCCATTTCAGGAGTAATGCAGACTTGTGGCCTGTGCTGCCTGGGACAGTCTCATTCTTTCCAAAACTGCAACTGGAACAAGCAGAGGGAAGCTCAGTACTGGGTGATGGGCGGGAGGATGGATATTGCAATGCATTCAGAATGCCCCCTTCCACAGTTCACATCCCCTTGAAGGTTTGCCTTCTGCTTGCCTTCTCACACTACCTCTCACACCCCTAGCTCTATGCATGTGGCCACAGAAATACATGGAAGTCTGCAATGTTATGAATTCTTACTCTATGTGCAGTGGGACGAATTTTGTCATCAGCGGTGTCTGCCAGTCTGTTCACGTGCCGCCCAGATTTTGGGTCTAACAGATTTCTTGCATGGCGGTTCGCGCAAGAAAATTGACTGGGTGTTTCCAGTAGGCGGCAGAAGAAGGTGAGTAGCTGTTGCTGTGGACGCTTTTGATAAGTGGCTATGTGAGGAGGTGCAGAGGTACCCGCAAATATATAACTCGTCACTGAAGGTGCAATTAGACGTATTCCGGTGCATCAATTCTTGGAAATAAATGATGATGAGATGAGAATCTCTACAGGCAATGATAGAAATATATTGTTTGATATGTCCTGTACCACATTATGTATACAAAGCACTTTAGTGTTTTTGTGCATTTGTATCCAACATTACTGTTGTCTAACTGTAACATGTCTAACTGTTCATAAAAGTTTATCCATTTCACAACATTGCTTGTATTTGTGTTTGCTGTAATACATCTGCCATCTGCTGGTCTGGTGGAGTATCACTGCTTCATACATGTGCTGATTATCTGTGTCCACAGGCAAATGCAGTATGTATACAAGAGTCTGTGTGCACAACTGTAACGACACGTGGGAAATTGAAGTATGACTTATGCTTAATGAAACAGGGATCCAGGCTGCTAAAATGCTAGGCTAGAGTCTGTTAAAATGCTAGGCTAGAGTCTGCTAAAATGCTAGGCTAGAGTCTGCTAAAATGCTAGGCTAGAGTCTGTTAAAATGCTAGGCTAGAGGCTGCTAAAATGCTAGGCTAGAGGCTGCTAAAATGCTAGGCTAGAGGCTGCTAAAATGCTAGGCTAGAGTCTGTTAAAATGCTTACTCTAAACACTAGCAAACGATCCATGTACCAGCAAAACAAAACATGTGTCAGGGTCAGTGTCCTTCGTGTCTCCTCCCCGTTTGGCTAGCAGGTGTTGTTGGTCATCCGGTCCCCCTGTATCTTGCCCATGAGCTCCAGTGTGCCCCTATTATGTTTTACCTGTTAGCTAAACTGCCACATAGCTCAGTGGGTTGAGTGTGTGATATAAAGGCTATAACCCTCAGTTCATGGGTTTGAGGCTGGCCAGTGAATCGGTTTTCAGTTCCCGCTCAGTCCTGCTCAATCTGAATGTCCTACAATCTGTGCTCAACTCTAACATTTCGCATTTCTCCTGGTAACTGTTTCCAGCTCCTCCTAGTGCTGGTCTAGGTTATGACTCTTTTCCAGTTTTATATTTTGCCTTATACTCTTACACCTGATCTAACTTCCTAATCTTTCTCTGCTGTCGGGGGAGCTTCATAAATTTGGTGGTGGCACTCTCTGAGGTACAGCTAGCGGGGAGTGGCCAGATCTCTGTAGGTGGGTATACCTACTTTTGGTCTGGTCAGTCTGATGGCTGCTGCAGTAGCAGATTGGCTTCTCTAGATGGTGTCTGATGTCACACTTTTCGATGAGTATTGTCATGGACCAGAGCGGATTTGGGGCGATGGCGTGGCATGGTGCAGGCCAGAACAGAAATACTGGACGACTCACGTGCGGCTCAGGGAACACTGGTGTTTATTAAAAAGGGAAAAACACTAGGGACACCACTAAAACAAAAGCAGACCACGAGGGGTCAATAAACAAAAGGGGAATAACAGTAACCAAATAACAAATAGACTAGGACAAAAAAAAAAAACAGCTAGGATAAGGGAGGCAGGCAACATACAACAAGCTTGACTAAACATGAACAACTAACATTCAACAAACCAACAGCGAAATGAACAGAGACAGGAACTTAAATTCTAAGACTAACAAGACTAACACAGGGGAGGTGAGATTAATTAACATGGGTAAGGAAAACAGACAACAGATGAAACTAATAATTCAATCAAGGGATAAGGAAAGACAGGATGGCCAGCGACACCTGCTGGCCAAACAGGGAAGGGACACGAAAGGCACCATTTGCTGTGCTATCCCCAAAGTGATTGTTGCTGTCCCAAAATATATCAACACCTTGGTCACCTTCTGTGGCCACATGTCCATGCTGGTAATAAAAGCCACTTATATTGATTCGCAGGTGTAGGAATTATTAGCTCAGGTAAATTTTAATATCTCCACCAATATGTTTCGAAATAAATGAAATTTTAATTAATTATTATTTAATGCTGATTATTAACTAATTGTTATGCCGGATGGTTGGTTCCTCCAAACTCAATTGCGGTATCCCCATGACTTTGTTAATGTGAGACTTAAAAGGGATTCACTAATTACCAGTATCGCTTAGTAACCTGGGTTAGAAGGCTCATCCAACGAGCTGCATCACCAGATAATGTAAACGACTGGTAGCGAAGCTCCCCTCACGGCCGATGAGAGTGAGTCTCGCGATATTTCAGGTGAGTTTGAGGTTTCAGAGCATAGTAGCCAGATCGCACAGAAGCAGAGATTACTGTGAGCACTCAATGAATGGAGGCTGTAGTTGTGTAAAAGACATGCATTTATTCATAACTAACACTACAACTAACATAAGACAGACATTACACCTAACATAAACAACAAACACGAAATAAAGGAATAGTAACACACAGAATGTAATTATGGAAATGCAATGACCAGATTTAAATGAGTAACCATAAACGGGAAATACTGTTCTGCAAAGCAAGCACAGTTTGTGGAAACACGACCCTACAGTCATATAGCAGGTTAACAGAACAACTTAGGTTGTTCTGTGGTTCCTGATCCCCTGGAGCCTGTTCCTGCCCCTATTCCCATGGCCCCTGCCCTTGTCCCCGAGGAGGTCCTGGACCTTCGGCTGACACTCTTCCTCCATCTCCGGGGGGGGCGGAGCTTGAGTGGGATCCCTCGGGAATATCTCTGACTGCCCCGGTGAGCCCCTCTGGTGGGTTGCCCCCACCATTGCCCCAGTGCGGCAGATCCCGGCCTGGACCTCAACTCTCCATGTCCAGAAGGGGGAGAGGGCACTTGCATAAGGGTCGGGTCCCACCTGCCCTACCCCCTGGCTTACCTTTGGTCCCCCTGGCTTTGGCTCGGCGGTCACCTACGGGTCCTCCGGCACCTGCTTGGCGGTCGCTTGCGGTCCCCCTGCCTCCAGCAGCTCGGCGGTCGCCTACAGTGCCCCCTGCTCCATCTTGTCGGTCGCCAGCGCCTTCACTGGCTGTGCCTTCGCCTGCTGCGACTTTTGCTCCTTTCTTGCCTCCTGCGGTGTTCCCTTCTGCTCCCTTCTTGCCTCCCGTGTCCCCTTTGCCTCCCTTCTCATCCCCTCCGTCTGTCCCTCCATCTTCCTCTGCACTGTTGCCTAGGGTCCCTCCTGCTCTGGCCTCGTGGTTGACTGCTGCCCCTGCGGTTCCCGCCTTCTGCCAGCCGGGGTTTTCTCCGGGTCCCCTGTGTTTGCGCCACCCTTGTTCCCTCCTGGTCCCTTTTTACTCCCCCTGTTGTCCCTCCATTGTCCCCCTCCTTGGGTTCTCTGTTTCTCTTTTTAGTATCCCTGTTTCTCTCGATGTTCCCCTTGGTCTGTCTGTCCTGGTTGTTGTCTTGGTCCCTGTTTTGCGTGTCGATCCTGTTTCCCATGGTCTGTTGATGTTTTTGCTTCTTTTTCCCCAAGTCCTGTCCTGTGCTGTCCTGTGCTGTCCCTCTGGTCCCATTGGCGCGCCGGGGAGGTTCTGTTATGACCTGCTCATCCAGTCCTCTTATGTGCCCTTCTTACCTCATGTGAAATCCCGGTGTTCTCAGCTGTTTATAGTCATTGTTAATTGGCTCTTGTATTTAGTGCTTCCGTGTCTGTCTCATCCCTGTCCGGTCATTGATGTTTGTTTCTGCATCATGTCCTGTGTTTGCTGAATAAACCCCCCGACTTCACGGCATTTGTTTTGCTTCTCCGGACGCCGATCCATAACAAGTTCAAATACCACTAGTTTATTTTGATGCCACTTCCGTTCTAATTTCCATGTCTCTTGTTTTAGTGGAGCAGTTTTATCTTTTTTATTTTTAAAGGAACAATTTAATCTAAGGTGGAACTAAGCGTAGACGCTAAACAATCCGTAGTGCTATCAAGTTCAATGGGATTCGAAACCATGGTTCCAATATTTTTTTCTTCATTAGAGGTCTTGTGAGCCGCACTTCGTCTGGTTCCTCACCCAGGACCTGTTTGCCTTGGGTGACCCTACCAGGGGCATAAAGCCCCGGGCAAATTAGCTCCAGGGATCTTTGGATTTGGCAAATCCCTCCACCACAGTACGGTGTTGGCTCCAGAAGAGGTGGCATAAATATGTATCATGTTAATCACAAGATAATTTGTGAAGCAAAAAAATATATTCTCTTTCTCTCTCTGCCCTCTTCCTTTGGCTCTATCATCCATTGATGTGTGTCTCTTTCTATGGCTCTAACCATGTATCAGCTATAATCATAGCCATAAAGCACCCCATGCATGCACACCTGCTTACGAATGTGAGGTAAAGAGCAAAGCTAGTTTTAACTTTGGAAACAAAATATTACTGTCATAATCCCCATGAATCACAACAGACAATGCAGGAGAAAGATGTATGTGGGTAACATTTACTTGTACATCCAACAGCGCATAACTACAAACACTGCAACTTCTAACACAGCCATTACTACTCAATGCCCTAAGCCGAAAAGACAATCACAGCTGTAGTTAATACGTACTACCCTCTTTACCGTAATTCCTCAAATACAGCACAAGGACGAAGTGGGGAAAAAAAGGCTGACAAGCTCCTTCATTCACATGCAACCATTTAACATTCAGTTTTGAATGTGTGATCACTATGTTTTTTTATTATTATTTTATTTTGCTCAAATAAAAATCTCAAACTTTCCTAAACTGGTCTTTTCATGAAATGTTTCGACAGCATTTCCTGCGCGTGTGTGATGATGCCTGAGTGGCGCAAAGTGGAACCTGGTAGAGGAAGAGGAAAAAGGAAGCTGAGCATATATAAGTCTGCATCTCATCACTCTGTGCTCTTGCATTGTCATTCACAAGATTGTTCTTCATTAAATGTTCTTAGAATTATTACAATCGGACTATTTATTTTTTCTTTCTCAAGAAAAGGAGACCATTGAACCCTAATTTGCCATTTCCCAGGTAAATTTAACAAAAATTTTATAAAGATAATAATAGGTTAACTTCCATTAAAAATAAGTTTTAGGTATTTCTACTAGTTAGGGCTTTGCATGTATTACAAATGTAACATAGTAAACTATATACTGAAATTTACTAGGTACTCACCTTTACTATGTACTCGAGTTGTTCTGCTGTCTTGCTTCAGATTTATTTTAAGTGCAGTTTTAAATTGGGTACGTGATACAATATTTGGTGATATCAAGCAGTTCTTTTTCAACAACTCTTCATAAAAATGTTAATTGTAAACCCCACATTGCAACTTTAGTCATTCATAACAACTGTTAAACTTTGAACAGTAGCATTTTTGAACAATTTATAGTAGAAATATTGAGAATATACAGATATTTAACTTGATATTAACATGCAGGATAGGATTCCATTCAATTGCAAAAAGGAAATTCATTCTGATTTTTAATAATCTCTGTTTTTGCTCATAGAGATCAACAACAAAAAAAGTAGCATTTGTCTGAGTGAAAATAATCCATTAATACGGTCATCAGAATTCCAGAAGAGTCCATCAAGGAAGTCATAAGGATTCCATAAGAGTTCATAAGGGAGTGTCATCAGCAAAGGATTCGTGTAAGATTCCAGAATGAATGGATCCAGCTCATTGAACTTTACTACTGATTATGTGGACATCTTTGAAGAAACAGTTGCATGGATCATATTATTAATTGGCCTTCCTGCAATCAGCCTGGCCTGTTATGCACTGTACCGCTTGATCAAGGCTGATCATGTCGCCCCCCTATATGTCATCAACCTCCTCCTTTCAGATCTGGTGCAAATCATCTGCAGAATATACTTTGTTTCTCAGAAGCATTTTGGATTCCTCTCTCCAGAACTTATCAAAGCTCGATTGATTTTTCTGGTCATTGTCCGTTTTGGCTTAGTTGCTAGTCTTGGCTTCATGGTGTGCATCTCCCTGGAGAGGTACCTGGTGGTTGCTCATCCACTTTGGTATCGGTACCGTCGCAACCTGAAGTACACAGTGTTAACGTGTATTTTCATATGGTTGTTTTCTGTGATATATGCAGTGATTGATTATAACATAGAAGTCTACAGAACCTTCTTAAGTGTTCTAGCAACCCTATTCCTGCTGCCATTTCCATTTCTTCTCTTCTTCTATGTGAGCTCAAGGAGAGCCTTGAAAAGCACTATTTCAGTTTCTGTTGCAGAAAAGAATCGGATCCTTGGTGCTTTAGCCCTGGTCTTCGGCATCTATGTTGTGCTATATCTGCCCTTTACGTTCATGGCATTTTTTCTGGTAATATCTAACATACGCACTTACACAGTGTATTGCTTTATGGCTGTTGCACGCTCCATGGTGCGTCTCAGTCCCCTTGTGGACCCCTTCCTGTACATTTTCATGAGAAAGGGAGCCAGAGACACACTGGAGGCCTTCCCCTGCTTCAGGAGGGTATTTGGATGGAGCACAACTAGATCTGATGCAGAAACTCCAAGTACACTTTCAACTGGGACTGACATCCGAATGAGAATCTAGCAAATACAGGAACTGTTGACCTTCCTCTTTAATCCTCTTCATTGTTGTAACCTAGTATGAAACAAACAAAAAACTACCATTTTGAGATCCCTTCTATTTTAATTGTACTCCAAAGTCTTTGTCTTTAAAGTTTAGTTTTTTGTTCATTTGTTTATTAAGTTTTTTCTTTTAAAAACATTCTGCTTGACATGTGTAGCTTGTTTTG